TACTTGTCCAGGTTCTCGTTGCGCTGGACAATCGACTGGAAGAAGCAGATCTTGACGCTGGCGAACATGGGACCCATGTCCAGGGTGCCCCGCTTCACCAGGCTCTTCGTCGAGTCCATCGGGTAGGGATTCAGAGTGCTGGCAAAGCGGCAGTAGTTCACTGGAGAAGAGGCAAGGAATTGAAGGAAATGAAACCCCTGAAGGTAAAGCCTCGAATAGGTACCGTCTGGATAGCCGAATATGCTGGGATTGAGCACACCCTCGTACAGGACATTGGCTGGGGACTCGTGGTACAGTTGGAGCAGCAGTTCGTGGCTGTTGTGGAGCACGGCCGCCTCCAGGATGCGGCGCATCTCCTCGTTGAGCACATAGCGGTGCATGGAGTTGTTGACCAGGGCCAGGTCCGTGAATATATCGATGGCGTTGCTGCCAAAGTCGACGTCCTTCTCCCAGAGCAGCAGGCGGAAGACGCGCTGCAGCTTGACGCGGATATTCGTGTCCATCTGATTGAAGCTGTAGCTGCGGAAGGGATTGATGTCCCGCTTGATGTTCTCCCACACAATGCTCGTGTTCTGCTCGCTGATCACCTCCGACCCGAAGCCGTAGAAGGTGCAGAGCGGCACCACCAGCCGGTCGCCCCGCTCGTCGGGCACTCGCGCGCGGAAGGATATGCTGAGGCCCAGCTCGGCGGCCATCTGGTGCAGCACCTCGGGCACGTTGTACACCGACTCGAGGGTGACGAAGGCCAGGTTGGTGAAGTTGAACTCCTTGAGGATCGGCAGGATGGAGTACATGTGCCACACGGTGCAGGTGGTCGTCTGGTCCGCGCTGGAGCCCTTCAGCTCCGGATACAGATACACCGTGATGTCGCTGATGAAGCGACGCCGCTGGAACAGCTGCAGCAGATCGCAGTGGCCGCGCGACAGCATCTCCAGATGCCCCTCCGTGAAGCCCCCCTCCTCGGCGTCCCCCTCGTCCCAGGCAGGCTCTTCGGGGCGGGCACTCTCCTCGGCTGGCACGTCTAAGGGCGTGGCTATGGTGTCCCCGATCAGATCGGCCTCCTTTGGCCTCTCCTTCGCCGCCCTCTTGGGGAGCCTGGGCACCCGCCGGTAGAGCGTGATCACCAGGGGATTGTCGCTGAACACATTCATGTCCTCCATATCGTCCTGCATCACGCCCAGCGCGAACACAGGCTTCTGGATGGCGAACTCGTGCTGGTAGATGATCGTCTCCGTGGTGTAGCGCTCCTGCATCTTCTGCAGCGAGTTCTTGGCGTGGTACAAGTGCAGCTCCAGCGGGTGCTCCGACTCCGGCAGCATCTTCGTCTCGTTTAGCTGAATGTACAGGAAGACCCTGGGCGGCTTCGGCTTCGGCGGCACCAGGACGTCCGCCATGGAGCCCTCGTTGCTGGCCGGCGTTGCTGTGGGTCTCTGCTTCGAGACTCGCGAGGAGCGCACCACCGAGCCCTTGCTTCTGTTGGTCTTCTCCATTTGGTTGAATAAAATATATATTTAGCAATAGCTAGTGGAATATTTTCAGTGTTGAAGGGTAAGGCTTCGATTCCTGTGTATCTGTGGGGGGAACAATGTATCTGCTCCCATGTCCCACCCTTTTGGGCCCCTCCTTTCGGCCCTCGTTGGTGTATCTTTTTAGGTTTCTAAACAATAAACACTTCAACAAGTTGGCCCCCCCCTCCGCACTGCCATCGCGGCTCTTACTGCCGGCTTTATGGCTCCCAGACATACATATAAGTTTTATGAGACACGGTTGGGTCGTAAACCATATTTCGGCATTCGGGATACGGCATTCGCGATACGGCAAAGTGTTAAAAAGCGTGGGCCATGATGCGGCGGCGGCGGCGGCGTCTTGAATTTTATATCACAGCTGGAAAATTACATTTTGGCCAGACGACACCTTGAGATCTGATCAGACCTGCCCCTCCCCTTTATATGGATATCTGCAGAGCTCAGGAGATATTATTTACCATTTCTTTGTCCCAAGAAAAGAACTGGAACCGAATTGTTTTCCCCCCGAAAAACTAGCAGCAAAGAAAGTCAATTTATTTGATATAATTTCCATGCTCTTTGCAGCTCTTTTCTGGTCTTTGTTTTCTTCGGGAAATTAAACTTTTAACCAAAGTTTGCGCACACATCAAGGAAAAAAATAAGAGAACAAAAAATTAACACTTGACCTGTGACTTGTGCTCTGCAAATGACGGGGGGCGTGGTGGTGGGTGGGTGGTGGGTGGTGGGGCCGGGCATTAGGTAAACTTATGCCATATATTCCAATTTATTGCCTGCTCGAGGCTCGAAATGTTATTATACCCTTTTGTCACAGCTGAGAGGGGGCTATATAGGTTCTTGGGGATGTATGTGACGGGCAGAAGGAAGCATTTTGAACCAACAAAGAAGGTGTATCTGCATCTCTTCTTGATTAACTTCAACCCAGTTGAAAAATGGAATGTTACCTGGATTTCTGAGTATACGATTATATGATTCAATGATTCAGCCATCTCCCGCACCTTTAATCGTTGATCTGCCAGTACGAGATGGTGGATTTTTGTTACATTGTCCTCCGGGGTAGCCATTTCCGAGGCACCTAAGCGACGCCACCACGTTGAAACTCGCTAAAACCCATTGTTGAAGATCGCCATCGAAGGAGACGAGTCTCCGAACACAGCATCCAAGCGCTCTTTGATTGCGCTGCCCGATTTCCCTCCCAAAATTAAGAATCTTTGACCGATATGGCTATTTTTCCATTCCATCTTTTTCCACGCCCGCTTTCGCACTTTCGCAAAAAGAATCTACGAGTCCGATTCGGCTAAAATTGTGACAATATCCATCTACAAGAATGCCACACAGGTTAGAAAATCTCTTTTGGGATACTGGCACCATCGGCTGATTAGGCTAAGTTCGTCTCAGACCATCTTCGTATAAACCTTCTTCAGATATATGCCCTGGTTGTAAGGTCCAAAGATCCAGCGGCATCTACAACTTAAAAGACACCACAACCTAGTTACTAACCAATAGATATATAAATTGGGAGTTTTTGGTAGAGAAATGAGTTCTTTCTTCTTCCGACACGACTCCTACCTTCTCGATTTGCCTTTCATTCAGGACCAGGCTTCGATTCGCACAGGAGTGGCCGTTCACTGGATTGTATATGGGCGTATATTCGGTATTTTCCCAGTGTGGCCTTACATTTATGGCTTGTGAATATACACTACGACTGCTCTATTGCCTGATATACGCTATATAAAACTAATAAATGTTATATAGGGTTTATTATCCCATCGACCCACAAAAGCCAGTAGAAAGAAGGATTATTTCCATCAATAATAAACTCATTTTCCTAGGGAATATTTCCATACATTTGTCTGTTTATTACTGGGTATTTTCCAGTCGCAATGCCCTGCACTTCGAAGGCCTCCATATTTGTTTTAATGTGGGTCAGGCTTGAGCCTGTGGAATTTGCATGTCCGAGAGCCGCCCCCCGTCCCCCTCCCCCCGGGCCCACTCAAGATTCCGTGTGCGAATTTGTGGGGATCCCGCTGGGCTCCCCCCCAGCTGAGGCTCCAGCAGGCAGTGTCAAAGGAAAGAAAACTTAAAATGCAGCGCTGCCATCTTTAATATAACTTAATCCTTTTTGTGGGGGGGGGGGGGGGGGGGGGGGTGGCTATGCACACACTGCCCCTCACTCCCGCCCCCTCTCCCTCTCCCTACCCCTGTCGCTCTCCCTTCCCCCCTGTGTGTGTTGTAACTTGCGAATTATGGCGCTAATACCACTGTGTGCTTATGAGCCCGCTCTGCAGGCATGTGTGTGTGCGTATCTGTGTGTGTGGTGTGTGTGTGTGTGTGTGTGTGTGTAATGCAGCTCTTGTTACTTTAGCAAGTTGACTTTGGGGATCATCATTAGAGAGAGGAGGAGGAGGGAGAGGGAGTGGTTGCTGCGTTTGAGTTTCTTATGTTAAATGCCTGACGACGACGACGACGACGACGACGGCTTAGCTGCCTCGGCCGTGGCATGCCACAAAGGGAGTTATTTGTGTAAAGAATTTTAATTATAGTCAAAGATTAGTCCAGTCACAAATCGTAGACCTTGAGGGTTTCCATTGGCTGCCATTCTAGCCCCAAATCTGCCTCCTTTTTCCTGAAATCAAATCTCTTACCCTTTCAATCGTTTAGCCGAGATCTTTGGGCACAAATTTAAGCTTTTTCCAAACAAATATGTTTAATAACTCCGCCAAAGCCCTGGCTTTCGGTGACTTTGTGGCAGGCCACAAAAAAAAAGGCAATGAAATCATCTCCTAATCCACTGGATTTATGCGAAATTTAATTAAAAAATAAACAATAACTATTTTTCGGAAATTCCCTTTTAAAATTCCAATCAATACAGATCTGTATCTGTATCTTTTAGGCATCTAAATTTCAGCAGTATCTGCTGGCTGCAATGTATCTACCCCTTTGGCATTCAGGGTATCTGCTGGAGCAGGGGGTGGGGCGGTGGGGGGCAAAAAAAACATCCAAAACCGCAACAAAACCAGCTACACGCTGATACACAGGCCGGTGGGTGTACACGTACTCCACACACACACTGTACCTGCAGCCGTGACAGTGCCCCGAGTGTCAGAAACAGCAGCCAGTCAAGAGCCAGGCAAAAGCGAGGGCGAGGGCGAGTATCTCCCAGATACACACACAGACAGAGCCCGTTCCGGGAAGGGAGCTCTGCAAAACGGAATTTGCAAAATGTCACGTATGACGTTCGTTGGCAACTAAGAAGGAAATTTACCACTAAATGATGCCCAGGAAAGGGGGAGGAGACTGGTTGGGGGGGGCAAAACCAACCTCAGTGCTCGATGATGTGTAAAACGGAAGGCAGACAAGTTACGGCAAATTATGACAAAGTTTTCCAAATGCAAATGGCAAAAAATCCACCAAAAAGGTCTCCAAAGAGGGCCCCAAAGAGCCCCAGAGAGAGAGAGAAAGAGAGAGCGTGGTGGCTGTTTTTAGGGCTAATTCTGCTTTGAAAACTTTAATTTTGTTGTTCTCGCGATATCTTTGTTCTCCCCGGAAAACATGGTCTCTGCGCCTCAGTCGAGTGGACTCCAGCCGAACGAGTACGGTCTGTTGGCCACCATTGGCGGCATCATGGCATAGCCGGACCAGCCCCCGGCATCGTTCGCATTGGTCATGTATCCGTAGCTGTAATGTCCGTCCATGGCTGATTGGAGTTGCAGCAGCTGCTGTAGCTGTTGCTGGTACTCCTGCTGTTGCTGTGGCATCCCCTGTTGCTGCTGTTGCTGCTGCTGTTTCTGTTGTTGCTGCTGCTGCTGTTGTTGCTGTGGCATCCCGTAGCCCCTCTTGCTGCCCCTCGTTATGTTGGGGGCACTCGAAGTTGGTGGTGGACACTGAGGTGGATACTCGCTGAGTGGGGAGTGCGGAGCGCGGTTCCGCGGCGGCTGGGACTGTAGTCTGGTGCGTGTTTTGGGTCCGCACGATTGTGGATGCCGCGGGGCCATGTTCGGGTACCCCGATCCAGTCTCATGTTGCTGTCGCTGTTGCTGCCGCTGTTGCTGCTGCTGGACTGGTTTGTGCATCATCGGCCAGCGCTGCTGGGCGGCAGCCTGTTGAGCACCGACGGGCGCCTGCATGGGTACACCGTCCACCAGAACCGGATAAACACTGCCACCAAAGACGAGGCCGTTGCCATATATTAGCATCCCGTCGGGCGGTATTTGGGGGATTTTCTGCTCTCGCTCCCGCTGCCCCCGCTGCTGCTGGCTGCCCGCCGACTTCTGTGACCTGGACATGATTACTGTTCACCTGACGCTACTCAATTTCGATGTTCGAAACAAATACTATATACTGAAAAGCAAAAAGCAAGGCCTCCTACGTTCCCCCCTTCCAGGCGTGCTCATTAATATTTGCCACATGCCAGAGAGGGCGACGGCGACGTTTTGAAGAGCCAGCCAGTCGGGCAGACAGGCTTTTGTTTATGGCTGTGGCAGTCAAAGGATCTCAGGCCTTATCAGCACGTAACTCCCCTTGAAGATGCTGCCTGCTGCTGGTGGCATTTTTAATTAAAGCGAGTGAAGGACTTGAAGTGCGCTGCCTAGACGATGCCCGGAGATCCTTTGTTCCGAGGATTTCTCAAGCTAATCGTGATAAAAGTCGGCACAACAGTTTCTTGGCTACAATTTATCGCCCAAGTAATCTTTATTCAGACAAAAAATACTCTAAATATTGAATAAATCACGGAATTAGAGTGTTCCGCGTAGAACCCCTTCGATTGGCAGGCCTTTCTGGGGGGATTAGCAGGCCTTTCTGGGGGGCCCTTAACCTCAGTTCTCTCAAAGTTCTCTACGTCTTGCATCCAAAGGGATGCTACGCACATCGATGGATGGCTTTTGGATATCTCTCGGATATTTGGGTACAAAAAAACCCCCATTTCCCCATAGAGAAAGCCCAAAACTCGCATTAGAAACCTTTTGAATATGTGAAAACTGCCTCCATCGACCTTTCCTTCACCCGAAAAGTGGGGGGCTTTAAGTGTACCGAGATTTCAGTGTCGCTCTCCCACAGATACCCCAACATTCAGAGCATTTTGAAATTCCAGCAGCACAAAATTCAATTCGGCTAGCAATAAAAAACCCCACACGGAGACGAAAAACCCCAGAGCGTTCCCCCCAAAAAAAACAGGCAGGAAAATGGTCAACATGTCTGACATCGACTACGAGCCCTTCAATCCGTTCAACGTGGGGCCGCCCAACAGCGGCAAGCGGATGGAGTTCAAGATCCCCACCGCCGTCACGTATCCGCCGCCGGTGTTTGCCGTCGTGCCGCAGGACAAGCAGGGCTACATCAGGCGGTCCGTCTCGCAGGACTCGCAGCTGGCGGCCAGCTCCCATCTGAAGATTGGGCCGTCCAGAATCGGGGAGGTGAGCGTTTCGAGGGCCATCAAGGAGGAGATGGCGGCGGCCAAGCGGCAGGCGGCCTCCCTGGACGAGGAGGAGCGCATCGATGCGGGCGGCATCTCGAAGATGAAGCTGGCCTCCTCCAGGTCGGGGATCGACTCCAAGTCGAAGGTGTCCGTCAAGACGCTGATGCCGGTGCGGACGAGGCGGCAGGTGGCCCCCGGCGACGACCAGGCCAAGAACCGTTCGATATCTGGCTCCAGTGTCAGCAAAAACGGGAGCAGGGTGTCCTGGGGTCGGGAGACCAAGTCCCGCTCGAGTTCCCCCTCCAAGCGGAGCAGCATCGGCGCCAAGCGGAGCGGCACTCGTTCCCAGTCGAGCACCGCTTCGTCGAAGGCCTCGCTGGCCCGATCGTCCAGCAAACTCAAGCCGAGGTCGAGCACAGCCTCGACCGTGACACTGACGGGCAAGGTGTCCAAGCAGCGCTCAAGGACGGACTCTGTCAAGCCCTCAAGCTCCAAGATCAGGTCCAAGGAGGAGTCCAGGGTCTCGCTGAAGTCAAGGACTAGCAAAAGGCCCTCAGATACTGTATCTGTGCGCTCTCGCACGTCCAAGACTGGGCATAAGCCCACCGAGACGGCCTCCCAGCGCTACATCAAGGCCAAGGCCACCTCCGAGACCTTGTCCCAGCATTCGGTGCAGTCCAAGGTCAAAGAGGCCTCTCGCTCGGCCTCCAAGTCGAAGACCCACCCATCGAAGGTCTCGCTGAGGGCCAAAGTCAAGGCTGCCGTCCCCAAAATGAGGTCGGCCAAGGCCCTGGCCGAGGACACGTCTTTGGTGAGTCGAGCCGCGGCGATCACCGAGCGCCTCAAGGCGGGCAATGAGGACAACTTCCGGCGCTACAGCTCGGTGATCCACAACCACTCGATGAGGGTGCCCGAGAAGCAGTTCCGCGAGGACCGCATGTCCTTCTGGTTCCAGGACGCAGTGCTGTCCTAGGCAATGGCTGGCCCCCGCCCCGCCCTTCGCCCTCGGGAAACCTCCGCAACATTCCGCAATAGTTTACGATTTATTTATGCGAATCGAATCAATATAAATAAATATATACAAATTAGCCGTAAAAAGGTGGGCGATGGTTTATCTAACGGGGTTTTGACCTGGCCCAAAGCATAACCTGATTTGCGGTCCAGACTCTTTTTTTTTTTTTTTTTTGAGGTGCATTCAGCGCTAAAAATGTGCGGTTTTGAAAGCTCTGGGCCATAAAAAATGCTTTAAAAAAATATAAAAAATAAATGTGCTTAATTTAAAAAAAAATATATATATTTGCGACTGTAAAACGAAGTTGGCTTAAACATTGATTCAGGCGAAAGCGAGTTAAAATATGCAAAAAGATTATAAATGGTCTAAAAAAAAAAAGTTTTATGGCTGTGTTTTAATTACAATTATTATTTGGAGTAAATTTTATAAATATAATAATTAAGTATTAATTACAAAAAATGACAAATTTAGCGAAGAGTTTTCTACGCTTGAGGGCGAAATAATAATTAAAAAATCTCAAAAATGACATTTAAATTATGAAATATTTAATTAAAATTCGTAAGGGACAACCGTGTACGGTTTAGCCGACTCTTTTTGGCGGTGCATTGTGGTATTTATTGCCGGGGCAGCCGGCTAATTGCAGCAGCAAAAAACGTCGGTTAGGTGCTGGCCTAATCAGCGTCAACATTTGGCCAAGAGCAAAATTGCACGGCGGCCCGTGCTTGGGTTGTAACAATTATAACAAATGCTTGTGGCTTTCATTTAATTGCATGTCAATTTGTAAGCCTCTCGGCCTCTCGGCCTCTCGCGGTAAGTAGGCCACAATAAATGAGGAGTCGAGAGTCGGCGGCATATTTATATGGAAATGCGGGGATTTTTATGCGAGCACTTCCCTACAATGAGGGAAACAACTGCAATAATGGCCAGGAATGGCCCAGAAATAACAACTTTGCTAAAGTGCAAAAATCCAGCCACCGCCCAAAAGGGCTCCGAAATGAAACAAAACGTTCAGAGAGGGAGAGAAAAATATATTTAATACGAAAAGTTTTGCAATAACGGAAATGAAATGGAAATGGACGCCCGCCAATAGACATAAATGTGACTCTGTGTGTGTGTGTGTGAGTGGGTCACTGCAGGATACAAATAGGACACGGCACCAGGAGCAGGCCGTGTAAAACAAAAGAACCATCGCATACAATGCAAAAAAACAGAGAGAGATCTCAAAAGTAAAACCAACAAACAATATCCGCAAAAAGCAATTGCACAAAGGCACCAGTCCAGTCCATAAAATATTAAAAACTATACAAATACTAGACACAAGGTGGCGGAGATACTTGCATTTACCTGGGCCTTTCGAAGGGGCCTGAAAGCCGAGCAATTAGTTGGGCGGAAGGACTCTCTTCTGGGGGGAAGGACTCTATAATTGATGGAGAAACTCTGCAGAGTTTGTTTTCCAACCACAAAACAAAGAGGATCCCACTTGGGATCCCCCTTCTATATTTACTGACTATATTTTTGGAACATTGCTAATTTCGTACAAGTTTGAATGGTCGTAGAGCCGACTGTAGTAGTGGAACTTCTCTTCCATTTTGGTCATATCGCGCTTCACTCTCTCCCTTAGTCCCAGCTTCGGCGCCTTAGAGCCGACTGTAGTAGTGGAACTTCTCTTCCATTTTGGTCATATCGCGCTTCACTCTCTCCCACAGTCCCAGCTTCGGCGCCTCGGTGGCAGCCACAACATTGGCCTCGTTCCCGCTTTCCTTCTTGGTGGTTGTCGAGGGCTCTTCCACCAGGCTGGGATCGAGGATCAGGAAGTTCTCCTCAGTCGAAGAATACATCCATTGATTGTCTGATTTTGTTGGCTTCTCTGCAGCTGGCTCGAAGTTTCCCGCGTAAACGAAGAACAAGAACAACACGATCAGAATTATGGCGCCGAAAATAAACTTCTTCGCTTTGAGGTTCTTGAAGGATACGATCTTGTGGATCTTGATTTTTAGTGATTCGAGCATTTTCGGTTTTTATTTGCTAAAACCAAACAATTGTTGACTCGATTTGTTTTTTGGGACAACAAAAGTTAGGAGTATATCAGTAGAAGCTTGGAATGCTTTGTTTTTTTGAAACTTATGTTCGTTTTTAGAGCTCCTTTCTGTTTAAAACTCTCCTCTTTTCGACTATATTGTATAAATAACACCTCATTGATGTACCTTTCTAAGGTACACTCCTTGCAAACCACTTTAAGCCCTTGAGATGTGGCCTGGAGAGCAAGATAAGGAAATGGCCCTACCTGCTAGACTCTGGCCAACAAGCTGCTCCTTTATAAGGCTATCCTGACGCCCATTTGCAGAAATAGACCTAATCGAACCTCTGAAGCCGATTGGTGCATCCGTAACTGTGAAATAGCCCAGGACCTCAGGGTCCCCCCTCATGTCATAAACGATACCAGTTACCAGATAGAAAGTTACGCAATCCCCCAGACGTTCTGTCCACTACCATTCCCTCAACCTTCCCCACAGGAAGATATAATTTTCACCCTCTAAGCCGTCCCCATTTTGATGTCTACCTTGATGGCCCACATTTTCTTTTGCAAAATCTATGTAACTGAATATTTTCATTGACTGTTACACAACATAATTGCAAAATAATGCAACAATAAACAGCATTGCTGGGAGCCCTGTTGGTGCTTTTCAAGTATCTGGTATCACTGCAGATACATCTTCTGGCGACCACACAATGTGCTCCAACAGCGAGAAAAAAAGAATGTACATATTTGTGTCTCCAAAACAATTTTCGTACAACAATTTAGTGAATTAAATTTAAAAATACCTCTAAGAATGCTTAAGAAGCCTGTGAAAAAAAACTTTACCTCCAAATACGATAAAAAAAATATCATCAGCTACAGATATTCTATGTATAGCCGTAATAAAAGATATTCTCCAAAAGATACTAATTATTTATCGTACAACATATTAGGGAAATACCCTTGAAAATGCTTTTAAGAAATCTGTAAAAATCTATAGAAAATATTCCTTAAAAGATAGTAATTATTTTTCATACAACAGACTAGGGAAATACACTTGAAAATACTTTTAAGAACTCTCAATCTGTAGAAAATATTCCCCAAAAGATACTCATTTTTTCTCGTACAACCCCTAAAAATACTTTAAGGAAATCTGTAAAGAATATTCCTGATTTCTTGTACCACAAATTATTGAAATACATTTGAAAATGCTCTCAAGAAATCTCAATAAATCTGTAAAAATATCTAAAAAAAAAAAAAAAAAAAAAATATATGTCCCGGAAGATAGTAATTATTTATGGTAAAAAAATTAATGAATTCAATTGGAAAATTCTCTTCAAAAATCCGTAAAAATCTGTAGAAAAATATTCCCCAAAAGATACTAATTTTTTCTCGTACAACAAATTAGTGAAATACCCTTGAAAATATTCTTAAGAAATGTGTAAAAATCTGTCAAATATATTTCCCAAAAGATAGTAAATTTTTCTCGTATTAAGTGAAATACCCTTGCAAATATTCTTAAGAAATCTTTAAAAATCTCTCAAAAATACTCCCCGACAGGCAGTAATCATTTCTTAATTAAAGCTCCCTTTTACTTAAGGAAAGCCACCTTTCGCTCAGTGATTCTGTGAGCTGTGCAGAAGCACATTCATGCAGATGATCAAACAAAACCCCACTAATTAATTACTGACCAAAAGGGGGAGGGGGGGCTGGGCACTGAATCAACACTGTCTTGCAAAACACACACTTCCATCTGTCGCAATGCAGATATTAGCAAACACACACACACGGCAGACACTCGAAGGTGCATGTCTTTTTGTGCAGGACACACACTGCGTATGCGTAATAAAATTGAATTAACGCATTTTGTGGCACACATGTGGGCGTACCATAAGGCTCCCTGTTTATTGGTCATAAATTTTGAAGGCAAGTTCCTGGCACACAAAACTGCCAAAGGGCCTTGTCATGTCGTCCGATGATTTACTTTTGCAATTATTATGATTTCCATTCACCGACAAAAGGCGTAATATTAGAATAATTGTCCAAAGGAAAGTGTTCTCTCAATAGAACTCGACCTCGAGGCCAATTTATGTTTGGTCGCCCTTAATCAAGCAAGAGTGCAAAGTCCTCGGTATTCAATTGAATTTGTCGAAAACCGAATATGGCAAAATGTTATTAGGTCTGCGCCTCGGGGGCCAAAAGGCAAAACATGAATCCGTGTGAATGTGCTCTTAATTGAAGAGCCTCTCGACAGAGGAATACCCACTAGCCAGTGGAGGATGCCCGGCCCTGGGGAGACACGTGGCATAAATTCATTTAAATTCATTGAATTTAATTTGTAAAAAAAAAAAAAAAAAGACTACAACACTTTGTGCAACTTTTCCGCTTTTCTATCCACGTTTTCAATTAAGTCTAAATGCAGTTGATTAACAAATTCAATTTTCATGCAGCGCGGTCGAGCGGCAGCGACTTGCATAATTATCAGACGCGGCATTAAAACATTTACATTATCCGCAGCATTATATATGGCCGTTGTTGTTGTTGGCGTGGCGTTAAAAATTAATTCATAATTTGCATAATGATAAATGAAGAACGCTTTTGAACGGACTACGAATCGGGGCAAAAGTGAATTTTCAGGAGAGCAGAAACCAAGTCAACGGCAAATGATTCATGGTCCCCCCCCCCTCCCACATTGTGGTGCTCCCAAGTCGTCGTCGGCTCTGATTTCATAGTGAAAGTCAACCCGAGTCATTTGTCGTCATAACTTTTGTCATTAAAAGCAATCCTGGCGCGGAGACTGGGCGTGGCATCACCAGAGCTACGTGCTGGGGACAGACAATGGCGTAGAGGAGGCCCCCCCCCCCCCCCCTTCCCCCCTACCCGTCTGTGTATACATTTTTCATAACATGCTAAATACGAGTATGCGCTCTCCCTCTCTCTGTCTCTGTCGCTCCTTTCTTTCTTTCTCTGCGGGCCGTGCAAGTCACGTTCCTTAATATGTCTTTGTGTGTGTGTGTGTGGCAGGATAAGTGTCCAAGTCTACGACTTTGCCTGTATGGGTGTGTGTGT